CCACAACGCCCGGCTATTTTTTGGTTGCAGCCGTCATTGTTGTTTGGCAGGTCCGGGCTGGGGATTCGAAGCCGCCACCTTAGGTGTACGTGGCTGGCGCCTTAGCTGGTTGAGCTATAGGCGCTGAGCCAGAAGGACTAGTTTTTGCAGCTTCTTACTGTATGGAGGGCCTGGACCAAGCGCTTAACCCTCTAGGCTTCAGCATCCTCATCTGTAAGTAGGAGGGTAACTGTTCCTGCTTCCTAGAGTTATTGCAAGGATCAGATGAGACTGTGTGGGTAAAGCTCCTAGCATAGCACACAGCTGGTACTTGATAAGTGGTGGGGACTGAGCAGAGGGGACAGGAAGACTTAGTTAACCCAGGGAAGGGCTATTCCACCTGTCTTGCCTGCCAAGAGTTTGCCTCCCTCTTGTTGATCTACCAACCCAGTGTGGCTCATCCTTGGACCTGGTTCAAAGGATCCCGGAAAATTATGGAAGCAATCACAGCATTGATTCCATAATTGACAGAGGGAGGTCTTTATGGTGCCTCTAAGCCAGCGGTTCTCAACCTGTGGGTCGAGATCCCTTTGGACTGTATTGAAGGTTCGAAGCATTAGGAGGATTGAGAACCACTGCTCTAAGCTAATTTGCCATTACTGAGCATGAACCAAGTACTGAGCTGAGAATGCTGGAGAATGCAGATCTATGTCCCACAGCACCCGTCCTTGGCATAAACAGGACAATGCCAACTCACAGCACCAGCATCTTAGGAGGTAGTGGGCTGCTTACCACTGGAGATGTGCAAGTAATGGCAGGGATGCTAGTAAAGAGGGTTTGGACTCTGATGGGGTGGTATGTGAGTGGGGAGAACCTTAAAGGGGACCACTGTTCTTGAGGGTTGAGATGGGAGAGCATGGCTCCAGCCCCACTCTGGCATGGCTAGACTGCGTTAGCAGAGAAGCATTCGTTCCCTGTAGTAGGCTGGTGGGACTTTGGGAAAAGCTTCCTCAGGGAAGCCTTCCTAAAGGAGGCAGTACTGGCCCTTGAACTTCAGCACAACTATAGACAGCAGATGACCTCTCGCTTTGCGAGGCTGTCATCTTGTCAGCCTGTCAGGCTGTCACGTTGTCACATCAACGTGTCACTGCAGGCTTCCTTCTCAGGCCCCACTGTGGATCAGTGAGAAGAGAACCACCAGAAGCCCAAGCTTACCTCCTCACAGCTGAGGGGCACAGAGGCCCTCTCACCTCAGCCACTGCAAGGCACATTTCACTGGAGGGCTGTGATCACTCTCACTCACTCACATGCCCTTCCCATAGACCAGTTGCTGTGGACACAACCATGGAATGGACTTAGAAGTATAAGCTCTGGGGCATAATCATTTGGGGTCACATCCTGGGCTGTATGACCTTGGGCAAGTCACTTAACCACTTGGGCCTCATTTTTTCACTTGTAAAATGAGGGCAGTATTCCAACCTCAGAGGATTTCTGTGAGAATTAGATGGGTTAAATGAGATGATATACGTAAGCAGCTAACAGTAGTGCCTGGAATATATAAGCACTCAATAAAACTTAGCTGCTGTCATCCATCATCATGTTTCATGGTTTTTAGCCACGTTAACATCCTTTGCCTTATTTATTTCCCCATTATTCTATAGGGGAGAATGTCCAGCAGTCATCAGACCTGTTTGTGAGTTTCCTTTCTGACTCACAGGGAAGCTACAGTCAGGGAAGCTAAAGTTCTCCTCCCCCATGACCACAGGGCCAGTCCCCAATATTTCCAGCAAAATTCTATCCCTAGAACTCAATTGGGAGCATCTCCTCCTGCTCACAGGTCCCCACCCCCTTTTATGGCTCATCCCCGGGAAAGATTCTGACGGGACACAAGAGCTGACTCCTCTTGTCTGCTTCTCCCAGGCACAGCTCCATCAAGGCTGAGGAGGCCACCTGCACGGCGCCCTTCCACCTTGACCTCTGGTTCTACTTCACGCTGCAGAACTGGGTTCTGGACTTTGGCCGTCCCATTGCCATGGTGAGTGTGGGAGTGTGGACAGAGCCCTGACTGACACTGGAGAGACTTAGTGTGATGTGGATCAGCTAGTGGCTGTAGACAAGTCCCTTTGCCTTTATCTCCTAGTGAACTGAAAGAACAGGCCTCGATGGCTTCATGTGCTTTAGCTCTGTGACTAGGAAGTCAGGCACCTGCCAGCAAGTGGGGGTCGGGGAACTGTGTCCTAACTCTGAACAATCACAGTATAATGCCTGCAGCCTGTGTCTTGAAGCAGGTAAACCAGGCTTAACCAAATTTCAGGCCAAAGGGCTATGGGAGACAAAGGGTATCCCCACCATCCTTCCCCACTACCTAGGGCCTGCACCGTTTTTGTGGAGGTGAAGAGTTTAGGCTGATTCTGCACAGGCCTCTGAGCCTTAGCTGCTTTTTTGTGCCATCTGGTGAAACCATCCCTTTCGTTCTAAGGCTGCTTCATACCTCAGTATACAGTGGCGGCCTCCACACAAGGGATTAATACCGGAAGAACACCAAAGCCCCTTACTGATAACAGACAGATGGATGGATAGACAGACAGACAACAGAATGGGAAAAATATTCAGTGAGGTACCACCATTTACCAAGTTCTTATTTGTGGGAACTGGGGGCATGCAAATAACAATACTAGATGCTGAAACTGTACCCCATATGTGCTAGTGATGATGCAATCAGCAAAGCCCTCTGAAAAGCAGTTTGGCAAGCTAATAACTGGTACTTGTACTAGTACCTAACACAATAAGGACGTAATACCTTTTTATTAAATGAAATAATAATTATAGCATGATAAATACAGCAGCTAGCATACAATGAGTACTTACTCTGTTCTGAGCTCTTTTTTTTTTTTTTTTTTTGGCCAGGGCTGGGTTTGAACCCACCACCTCCATATGGGGCTGGCGCCCTACTCCTTTGAGCCACAGGCGCCGCCCTCTGAGCTCTTTACATGTTTAATTCTATTCTCACATCAACACTATTATTCATCCCTATTTTATAGATAAGGAAACTTGAGGGTAGAGTGAGTAACTGGCTCAAGGTCACCCAACTAGTAAGCAGAGGAGCCAGCACCTGAACTCGGGCACTCTGGCCCCTTCATGACAAGGTTCAATTGTCTGTCACATAAGTATCCAGAACCCTAATATCCTGACCCAAAAACACCCCTTCTAAGAATCTGCCCTGAGGATGTGATCAGCAAGAAGACAACAGCTTCTCTACCCAAAGATGTTCATTGCAGTGTTACTTATAAAAGTCAAAACTTGGCTCGGTGCCTGTGGCTTAAGTGGCTAAGGCACCAGCCACCTACACCTGAGGTGGCGGGCTTGAACCCAGTCCGGGCCTGCCAAACAACAATGATGGCTGCAACCAAAAAATAGCCGGGCAGCATTGTGGCAGGCGCCTGTGGTCCCAGCTACTTGGGAGGCAGAGGCAGGAGAATCGCTTGAGCCCAGGAGTTGGAGGTTGCTGTGAACTGTAATGCCACAGCACTCTACCCAGAGTGACTGCATGAGGCTCTGTCTCAAAAAAAAAAAAAAAAAAAAAAGCCAAAACTTGGAAGTGACTTCAGTGTCCAACAGTAGGGACTGGGTAAATCAGCCTCACTGTATTCATTATAGAGGATGTTTCCTGGCAGAAACAGAAGTTATGGATACTATAGAACAAGCTGGAATACTTCAGGAGAAAAAAGATGCCTCCATGGCACATAGCCTGACTGACTGCAAGTCAGTTAATAGTTTTGTCTACCTCAGATCAAAGACTCAGTGGGGATAAAGGAAGCTGTCCTGGTAGTGGGGGAAGGGAGTTATGGTGGATGCTGGCTCTCATTTCTACAGATTTTTTGTAAAGTTTACATGTCACCGTTTAAATGTGGAAAGAAGGGCCCCACACAGTGGCTCACACCTGTAATCCCAACACTCTGGGAGGCTGAGGCGGGTGGATTGCGTGAGCACATGAGTTCAAGAACAGCTTGAGCTAGAGCGAGATCTCATCTCTAAAAAATAGCTGGGCTCGGCACCTATAGCTCAACCGGCTGACGTGCCAGCCATGTACACCTAAGGTGGCGGGTTCGA